TGTACTGAAGATAGTTTTCTTTGCTGCCTGTACTAAAGATAGCTTTCTGTACTGAAGATAGTTTTCTTTGCTGCCTGTACTAAAGATAGCTTTCTTTGACTGAAGATAGTTTTCTTCGCTGCCTCTACTGAAGATACTGAAGACTTTGCTTTAGTTCCATGCTTGTTTGTACAATGCTACAGGCAGCAAAGAAAACTATCTTCACCGGTAGTTCTATGTTTGCTTGTACAATTTGCTAATCCATACCTGATAATCTTTAGTATAAGCAGCAAAGAAAACTATCTTTAGTTGTGCTTCTCCTCAAGGAAGGATCTCTATTTTGCTACCTGCGTGGTATAGACTGTAAATAAATCTCTTTTCAGTATTTCGCTGAAATCCAGCATAGCGAACCATCTTTTTACCGCATTATCCGGAATCGTTCCGTGCTGCGGATGGGAGGGGAAATACCCCTTGCATAACCAACCACCGGTCATCACCAGACACGATTTTTATGTTGACGTCAACCTTCATCGCAGTAAGTTTACGACTCCACTGCGATCGTAATTTGCTTCTCTAAGGTCCAGAGCCCCATCGCCTGCCTCCTTTTCCTTTCCCCGTCTCTCTCTCTCTCTCTCTCTCTCACACACACACACACACACACATATGTCGGTGTCCTTGAAACAAGGAATGATGCAGAGTAGAAGATTAGCGTGGCCTCTGCATAATGACACCCCCATGAACCGAGAACGCCTCTGGCATAACCCCTCGGCGTCTCTCCCGCTTTCTCCTTCTTCTTTCAACACACTCTCTTGCGCCTTTTTTCCAATCGCCTGTCAGATCCCTCGACATCGCACTCAACATCCTCACTGCAGGCAGAAGACACGTGTCAGTTCGTGGAAATCGAACTCTCCTTTGATGGATGGGTTGCCACGTGTAGCGGATTCATTCCCTCCACGCGGCATTCCTTGCCAGGTGGCGTCGACGTGCAAAGGATAGCGGTAATCGGATAAGCGGAGCAGATCCTTTTTTGACCCATTGTTATCGAGTCTCAAGCGCGTAATCGAGTCCACGTCAGCTGACTCAGCTCATCCCGCCACGTCCTCCCTATCTAATCAGCCAGACGAGAAGCAAGAGGATTAGGAGAAGATGAAGAACAAAAAAAAAAAAAAAAAAAAAAAAAAAAAAAAAAAAAAAAAAAAAAAAAAAAGAGAAGGAGAAGATGAAGAACAAAACAACGAGGAGGAGGAGGAGCTGCAGGAAAACATCAAAAGGACGAGATGGAGGAAGACAGATGTCGTCGTTGTGTTTCTGCTTGCCGGTGACAAGCAACCAGAGTGGCGCCCCCCAAAATCGAAGGTGCTGGGTGTGTATTAGAAAAAAAAAAAAAGCTGTGCAGAACGACTTCAGCAGGTAGCGACGTAGCGAGAACAAATTGATTCGAGGAGAAATTAGACGTCGGTACCGGGATCCCGATCCCCCCCCCGAGCAGGGAAAAAGAGCCTGAACAACAGAAGAGAAAGAAAGGAGGAGTGGGAGGAGATTGACGAGGAAGAAGACGAAGAGGAAGAGGAGGAGGAGGAGGAGGAGGAAGAAGAAGATCTGAACTAGGAGGGGGAAGCGGAGGAAGAGACGGACGACGAGGAAGAGGAGGAAGAGGAGGAGGAAGAAAAAGAAGGATGGGGAAGAGGAGGAGTCGGCTGAAGAGGAGAAGACGAGGAAGAGGAGGAGAAGCGGCTGAAGAGGAGAAGACGAGGAAGAGGAGGAGGAGGAGGAGGAGGACGACGACGAAGAAAATATGAGAAAAGCGAGGCCAATCGCTAACCATACGCGTATAACCAAGTTGTCGTCAACAAATAATCCGCAAGGACATAGCCAAGCCTCAAACGCGGGCATTCCCCTAACTAGAGATGGATTAACAGCTCTGAAGAAGACGAAGAAGAGGAGGAAGAAGCGCAGGAGGAGGAAGAGGAAGACGACGACGAAGAGGGAGAAGAAGAGGAAGAAGAGGAAGAAGAGGAAGAAGAATGCTGATAAACAGCAGCCAAACTGCTTTCAAGTACATGCTTCTCAATCTTGACGCATTGCAAACACTCAGCATATACAACACTCAAAACACTCAGCAACGCGCAGAAGAGGAGGAAGATGAGAAGGAATAAGGAGGACGAGCAGGAAGAGAGGGAAGAACAAAAGCTGGAACAGCGGTTTAGAAAGTGAAAACAGCGGCCATAGCTGGCTTCCGAGAAAGAGCGGAGGAGGAACGAGAGATGGAGCAACGGCTTTGAACAAGAGAAAGAAGAGGAAAGAAGAGGAAGAAGAGGAAGCAGAGGAATAGGAGGAAGAAGAGGAGGAAGAAGAGGAGGAAGAAGAGGGAGAAGAGGAGGAAGAAGCAGAAGAAAGACAGGAAGAAGAGGAAGCAGAGGAAGAGGAGGAAGAAGAGAAAGAAGAGGAGGAAGAAGAGGAGGAAGAAGAGGGAGAAGAGGAAGAAGCAGAAGAAAGAGAGGAAGAAGAGGAAGCAGAGGAATAGGAGGAAGAAGAGAGAAGAGGAGGAAGAAGAGGAGGAGGAAGCAGAAGAAGGAGACTAGCGTGCTTCCGAGCGAACCACCTTGAGGATGGCCGACTCAAAGGCAGCCGGATCTTGGGCGCCGGAGAGAGCCAGCTTGTTACCCACGATGAAATGGGGGACGCTATGGATGTTCAGCTTCTCCTTAGCCCGCCTGTCTTCCGCGATGACTTCCGCCATCGCCTCTCCTCGCTCGAGAGCCTGTCTTCCTCCTTCCAGCCCCATGTCATCGGCTATGGAGCATACCACGTCCACTAGGGACACGTTCCCCCCCTCCTCGTAGGTCTTCTGGAACAATCTGTCCTTAGCTTCTGAACCACGCCCCACTTTCTCCGCCAGATGGACCAAACGATGGGCGTGCAACGTGTTCGGCCACCACTTCCAGTCTCCAAAGGCCAATCCATCACGCCTCGCGGACGAGCGCAACGAGTGCGTCCAGCCGTCGGATCCCCATCGCCGTCGATTATATGCCAAGTACTCCTCGCCGTTGGATTTGGTACGCGAGTCAATCATGTACGCATGCCATCTGACATCCACCTTCGCTTTCCCCTCCCCTTCTAAGGAGGATATGGCGCTATCCAGGCGAGCCTTTCCGACATAGCACCAAGGACACGCGATGTCACTCCAGACGTCCACGTGGACCACGAGCGCGCCACCTCGTCCCGCCATCGCGTCTCCCATCATCAGCCTATTTCCCGCGCTTTTCAATCGATAAATGAATTCTCAGCGAATTGTGGGGAGTGGCTGGGGGSGGGGGGKGGGGSGGGGGGRGGGGGGGTAATTAACCACCTACTTTCTCTCGGAGCGCGAGGTTGTATAAATACTATACAGTATATACGTCTATATATGTATATGCGTAATAACCAGCTAATAATGTTTTGAGCAATCGCCTCCAAGTCTGCAATCTCGCGCTATAAGACGTTCTTGATGTTCTTGAAGTTGCCGCCGCTGCTAAGTAAGGGCCCGCCGCATCAGTCTCCAAATCTGACAAAGACAAAAAGACGGCACGTGTATCTGTTCATGTTCAGGCGGAAAGTTCATTCGCATTCTGACACATTTGAAGAGCGGTTCGGCGAGCGCCTAAGAGTAAATAAAATGGCGCCCGGCGCAAGAATGACTGACACAGCGCACTAACTAATTTCCGCAGGAAGGGGGGGGGGGGGGGGGGGGGGGGGCGGGAACACGGCCCGATGCACAGCGAGGCAGCCTGCTGCCACGTCGTCCGCCACAGTGGCGGAACACGTCCCTCATACATCCAGCCACGCTAGGGGGCTTTGGATCTGGATCTAGTTGCGGTTCTATACATCCAGCATCGGACCGTAGTTGCAGAGATACATCCCCGGAACATCCCGGACGGACGGAGGGGAAGTCCTGGTGTGAGTATGGGTCTCGCTCTACTACGCACCACATGCACAAAACACAAAATATTATGGTGGCAGTTATATTTCCATGTTCTAGCGGAAGATGCATTCTCATTTCGCAAATTTGGTGAGGAGTGGAACGAGACCCTACGCCCTCACGTCGTCAATCAACCTCCATGAGCACAGGCCATACATTCATAACATACATGGGCCTCACCGCAGTACTCAGAAAGAGTGAAACATGTGGAGATACATGCATCTTCACATAGCAAAACATGTGGAGATACATGCATCTTCACATAGAAAATGGGGAGAGAACCCCCTACTATGAAGGGGCTTGTTCCACTACTACCCTCCACTTGAGAAAATCTCAAGGGCGGTGCCGTTCCACTACGCCCTTGAGGTTCACTGATCACCATTGATGAGAGAATAACACTCCCGCCGTAATCAATTTGCAGCCTGTCAGGGGTGCGTTATTCCCCCTTTGAGACATGGAGACATTTTTTTGTCGTTCTTCGTTATACCGGTCATTCATTACGGGTCGATTGGTCATTGGAAGGCTCGAAAAATGCAAGAAGGTGTAGGTATGGCACTTTGGGGGGGGGGGGGACCGGTAGCTGCCGGTGGGACCGCGCTTTGGGTTTTGGTCGGAACGGGTTTTGGTCGAAATCGAAACGGTGGCAAAGCAGGGGCAAATGGAAAGGGCGCACAAGGCCGGCGGCAGGGGCTGAAAAGTCCGACGAAAGTGCGCAGGCTCGGAATAGAAACGGTGGCAAAGCAGGGGCAAATGGAAAGGGCGCGCGGGGCCGGGGGCAGGGGCTGAAAAGTCCGACGAAAATGCGCAGTCTCTCTCTCTCTCTCTCTCTCTCTCTCTCTCTCTCTCTCTCTCTCTCTCTCTCTCTCTCT